ATCATCATCTTGAACATCAAAACATAGTTTTTCAAAAAAAAAAATAACACTTTGTGATGATGATGATGATGATGGTAATATGTAATGTCATTTTTGGTTGATGATATTAAATGAATGTAGAGAGTGGGAAAAAAAATGGATTCTGATGGTCATCAAATCATCGTTACATTTTGTTTTTCAAATGCAAAATGAGCGTAAGAGTGAATCACGAAATATATTCTGACCATAAAATTCAATTTGCCTCGGCTTTCTCTCTCTCTCTCTCTCTCTCTCTCTTGGTTATTAATGAAATGATGGAAAATTTTTTCCTATTTTTTTTTTGATATCCCTTTTGGTTTTTCGCGTAATCAAAGAGTGTGTGTGTGTGTGTGACAGCTTAAACCTCTAACTATATGAATAAAAGTTGACAACGAACGAAAAAAAAAGTTACATTTTTTTTCTCATTTTGATATGGTCCACTTGAACATTTTCAACCAAAAAATAAAAAGGATGATTTTGGCTGTCATAATCATCATAATCATCATCATAAGTCGATTTAGTTGATTATTTAAAGCTACTTTATTTGATTGAAATTATTATTTTTTCATTTGGAAAAACACACATGAATATCCTTGATAAACAGTTTTCGCCAATGATTTGCTTGAAAAAAATTTTAATTTTTGATAAAAAAACAACGGAAAATCCGAAAATTCATCGCCATAATGTTAATGGAATTAGGCTTATGCATTTTTTTCATGCGATGATGATGCGATTAAGAGAAACGTTAATAGGATATAGTGATTCTGTAACGTTTGTGATTCTCTGTGATAATGATGTGATGATCGATGATCGATTCAAGTAAACATTCAACTCAAAAAAAAACATCTTTCAAAATGATTTTTTAAAAAACTTTTCAAGTAGAAATTGTTTTGCTTTGTTTTTTTGAAATGCATAAAAGATTATTTTTGATAATATTGACACATTTCTGGGTTCTGTGTGTGTGTGTGTGTGTGTGTGTGTGAGTGTTTATCTAGAACTTTTTCATTCGATAATCGTTTATCGTTGAATGTTTTATAATTTTCTTGGCTTCTGATAAACAAAAAACAAACAAACAAAAAAAAAAAGTTTTATCATCTCAAATTGATGATGCTTATATGGAATATATGCCTGGTGTACACACACACACACATTGCAAAGTACGTGCGTTTATATCATTAATGAAAGATTATCAAACAAACTTGAATTTTCGTTCATTCATTTTCTGTTTATCTGTTCATTTTTTTCTTCATTTACAGTTTGGTCTGCACATCAGGATCACCATCATTTTTTGTGGATTCAATCGATGATCGATGAGTGTGTTTGTATTCGAGAAGCTAATCTTTCCAAAAATTTCCCAATGATGAACGACGATAATTGAAAAACAAAACAAAAAAAAATTTCATCAAACACCGATAATGATGATGATAAGCTTTTGGTCTCCCTAAAAACAAACAAACAAAAAAAAGTTTATCGCTTTTATTTCGCCAATTGGATAATTTTTGGAAAGAGAAAAAAAATCAATCATGGTTCAGTTGTCAAAAACAATGATGAAAATTCTCCAGAAATTTCTTCAAATCATTTTTTGATGATTTTCAATCAAGCTGTTGTTGTTGTTGTTGTTTAATTCTTTTGTTTTTTTTCCATTTCGTTTTAAAAAACAAACATTTTAAACATCAACATTACGCAAGACAAACTGAAAATGAAAAACTTTAATGTCATTTTTCAAAGCAGAAAAGAAAAAAGAATAGAAAAATTCCTTAATATTTCTCTTATTCGATACACTAAGGTTTCCATGGCAAACAAACGATCCGAAAGAAGAAGAAAAAAAATAGCAAAATCAAAGAAATTCTTTTTAAGATTCTTCATCATTCTGTATTGATTTCTGCTGTGTATTTGTCTTAAATATCCGTATTTAGTGTTTTTTGCCCACCACAATCCGCACACAGTGTTAAAGAAAAATGCCAAAAAAAGATGTGTGTGTAGGTCATGTGTGTGTGTGTGTTTGTTTGAAAATCATTAATTATCGTTTTTTTTTCAACCGTCTTTTTTTTCGGATATTCGAATAGCGATTTTCCCTTAGTTAGTTTTTTCTTTCATTTATGGCCCTTACATACTTACTTACTTTTTAGTTACTAAATTTGATCCACTCTGTTAAAAATTCAGTTATAGAGAATATATTTCAATGTTTTTTTTTATCATACTGTGTTAGTGTCCTTGTGGTGTGTGTGTGTGTAAACCAATATGGGTCGATCGTCGTGTTCCAAATTTTCTTCATCTTTTTTTCCTTTTCTTGGTTGAGAGAGAGAAATAAAAACGTATTCTCAGGGATCATTTTTCAGTTGGATTGCCTGGAACTCAATCCACTGTTTGTTACAATGAACAATGATGATGATGATGATGATAATGATGTGAATTGTGAAGTAAAAAAAGTAACAAGATACGTTTATTCATTTAAGCAAAACAATTTTTTTTTTGGTTGTTCCTTTTGATTAGATGGATTGGTTTTTGGTTTTTTTTTATACTTTCATTATCGATGATGATAATGATAATTGATTGATGATGATGATGATGATGAGAAACAGAACATAGACCATCATAGATCAAGACAAAACCGATCATAGATCAAGACAAAAACCACAATGAAGCAAACCTTGATTGAATTTTTCTAAATTAGCTTTTTTTTGTTTTTTTCCAAAAATTTTATTCAATTATTTTTCAATGTTTAAGTGTGTGTGTGTGATGTTCAAGTGTTAAATCAGTGTGTAAATTTGAAAGGGCAAACATTTAATTTTAAAAGAAGAAGAAAACATCAAAACAATTAAATTGTTTTTTATTTACAAAAAAAAAAAAAAAAAAAAAAAAATAAAAAAAAAAAAAAATTTTTAAAGGGGGAATTTTTTTTTAAAAAAATAAA